GAAGCATTTTATTGAGAGATTTTGAACTGCTTTCTGTGAAAATTTAGGTTTTCTAGGCCTTTTAGGCATGTTTATGACGTTAACCATTGTTTTGTGTTAATTTCTGAATGGATAACACTATCCTGGGGCAGGCATAGAGCTGAAAATATCCAAATTCAATCTCAACTTACAATTGAGTACCAATGTCTAGCCACATTGCTAAAAATTTTCATAAAACTAATTTTAGCATCAAAACAATTTAGAAAAACTATAAACCATAAAAAATTACTTCCAAAGTCGACAAAGCCTATATAAATGTCTCGCCATCAAATAGTCATACTCAATTTGGTACTCAAAATTATTCAACAATTTATGAACTTGTTTTCACCAATATTTCTGGCATAGAATCTGAAACGAAATAGTTTTGGATATCCGCCTAACAGAAATTGTTGAATGTGATGTTATCACATCTGTAAATTTGCTTTATGGGTTGAACAACAACAATCATTATTAAATTAGCATCTATTTTCTAGAAATTAATTAGCAAAGATAATCAGAATAGATTTATAATCAAGTTGAATCTGTTCTGCCAGAAATGCTCTTACGTGATTCAATGATATCTTCTTCTGTGCCGAGACGTGATAATCATTATTAAATTTTGTATTTTTGTGGGTTTTAATTCTTGTCTAATTCTGTGGGATTTTGGGAGTGATTTTTTGAGTTTTGGATGTCTTGTTGAATTAAAATCTGAGACAATCCCAACATGGCATTAACAGTTACTGATGAATTTCTCAAAAACCCTTCTTAAGAGTTCTGTCCCTTAACTTTAATCTGCTTTAATAGCTTTCCATATAAAAAACAGTAACTTAAATTGAATAGCTTGTACACGTGATAGCTGCAGACCATTTGACCTTAACTAAAGATTACAACAATCTTTACTTTCCTTCATCATTTCTTTCATTACAGAAAAAATTACACTGTGTGCATTGTACCCACATTTATGTGCTATTTACTCGAATTAAGTACATTTCTATTTGAACTACTTATAAGTAGTAAAATTGCCATTTAAAAGGAAACGATGAAAAAAATATAATTTAAGATTTAAGATTGAATGCTGGAACGTTTACTTCTGTTCATGTAACTGAACGGGGTTAAAAGAATTTGTTGCTATTATAGCTTCCATATCATAAAATAAAATAAAAAGTATATGTTCATATATGTCTTTAGTAAAAGAATTCTTGTACGATAAAAGAAGGCACAACAAAGAACTGAATTTAAGAGAAATATTATAGTATGTATGTCAGTATCTTATGTTGTGTTACACTCGCTCTTTTGCCAAGTTCTTATTTCTTTCTTTCCGCTTCTTTCTTCCTTCATTCTTTTCTTTTTGTAATTTGACGACAACTCACTCCATTCAGCTGTGCTTTTTTGTGCATGAGCTTAATACGAGGGGATAACAGCATGATGGGGATTTTTTAGCCAGTATGTAGTAAAGTTTTTTGACTAGAAATGATTAATATTCAGTCATAATGGTTTCCTATATGAAAATCTTTTCCTCGTCAAGTTGTTATCCCCCTCATTTTAATCTTTGATTTAAAGTTATTTTATGGCAAATAAAAGTAAGAAGAATGTCATTGTTTGCTGAACAAACGAGGAAGTCTCGTATTGTTGTAAGGGGAAATTAAAGGAAGTTGATAGAGAAAAAATTGATTTGAAAATTTATGAAACAATTTCATGGAAAAATAATAGCTAGTTTTTCTCTCACAAAGTCACCCACCGGAAATATTGCTTTTTCATACACAAAATGATTTCACGTAGTTCAATAACATTCATCATATAAATCACATCGTTGTCTGATGGGAATTGTACATTAAATGTTGACAAGCATGCAGTTGTTGGGATTTTTTTTTTCTTCTCATCTCTAAAATGTAATTTGTATTAAAACTTGAAACGTGACAACATGAAGCAACAATCTACGTTTTATATGTATTGTGACATATCTAATAACATTGAGGCAGTAGACAAATTATGAAGGATCAAATAATAAACATGAGATGATCATATTTCAATAGAATGTTGTAAAAATTTATGTGGAATCAATAAATGGAGCAGTTGACTTTAGTCATTGGCAGATAACGCTTGGATCAATTAATTTGCAAGATATTAAAATTAATGTTATCATTAAGAGTCGTTAGGATATTATTTAATGTAAAGGAGGGTATATGGTCAGACTTTTGGGTCACGTTATGTGAGACTTCTAAGTCCAAACTATTGAAGTTGACTTTTATCGGATTGATTCAGCTCAATAGATTTCAACTTAATTTCAGAACTCGAAATCGACTCAACTATCTACAATATGCTAATCGGCATCGAGCCATGTTGCCTTATTTCTTCTTTAAATTTTATTAATCCTTGAACCGACTCTTTATTTTTAAGATCTTCCTCAGTCAATTCCTTCAAATATTAATAAAATAAATATCACAATGAATTTCATTGTCTACGAATGCAAACATTTTGGAATATGAACATCCCATGTTCCTTCAACTGATCTAATAACTCAACTCAATTCTGACTAAGTGTTCCTTTGGGAAACAAAATAATTTTATGTGAACATAAACATCTCAAATCCAACTATGGATAATATCTTTAGGCATAAACGCCCACTACTTTTAAGATAATAAAGATTAGGGGTCCTGAATGTTATAATGAGCTTGAAATTATTTTTTCAGGTTAGGATTAGTATCTAAGAATCGTTATTTCCCATTTAACAGATGTTTTTAAACTCTTTTCAGCTGAAATCAAAGGGGGAGGGGAGAAGGTGGGGGGTTGCTTTTAAATTAAAATCCCCCACACTGATAACCATTAAGGTGTGGTCTTTAGAGTTCATTGTTGCTAAAGTCAGGAATAACCCTTAAAACCTACTTTTAAATGACGTAATGAAGCTGTGTGCCAATTTTATGTTGCAATGCTTTATTACAAGAAGATAAGATCATTTTTATATAAATGAAGACATGAACTACCTCAGCATAAATTTTTCAATCGGATAATACTGTACTAGCTGATAATAATCACAATTGCAAGTCAGAAAGATTTATTGCAGACAGAATTGTAAAATTTATATTTGTTGCATGCTTTCAGAATTTTTAAAATTAATAAAAAATTTCATCTCAAATAAAAAAGTTCCAAATCAAAAAACCAAAAATAATGGAAACCCTACGCACATAACAATTACAGTCTACAAGTAAATGCAGAATGAAATGAGAAATATTTTTTTATAGCCTATAACCTATTAACTCTCTTAACGTAAATAACTTTATATATATGTGTGCGGTTCATTTTAATGATTACAGGCACTAGTGAGCTTCCATTTTCGCAATAAAAATAAATGAAATAAAATATCACCAATTTTTCCTATAAAAAATATTCATCAAACACGCAATATGCTTTCAATATCAAATTGAAAGAAAAGAAGGAAGAGAAATATGATAGGAAGATAGATGTAGCCTAATGAGAATTTTTGGGGTTGAAAGAGAATAAACGATTTGGTGGAAAGGGTCGCAATTTAAGTAAGTGAAAAAGGAAGAAAAAGAAGAAGCATTTAAAGCCAGTTTGAGTAGCCAAAAAAAAAATATTTAAGTAGATATTGTGAAAAGCTATAAGGAGCTTTCCTTTTTCTAGAGGTGAATCTTTAAGATTTAAGAGGAAAACTCTTAAAAAATAAATTAAAAATTAAGGAAGAAAGAAGAAGAAGTTGATTGCTTAAATACAAGAACTTAAAGAGTTGTGAGGAATGTCAAGTATGTGAATTTAGTGATAGTGTTAGACTTGAGCATAAAATGCAGATACAGCCAGTACAATAACTCCATTATTATAACTTTTTAATTATCTTGTTAGCTACTTGTTATTAATTTCTAATATGATTAAATGTGTTATGTGTGATTTGATAAGCTTAACGTAAGGTTCAAACTAAGAGTGGGATACTCAATGGATTGATGTGATTTTTTTTGCAATATAAACTTTATTTTTGAATGTTTCAAACTCAGAACGTTGGAATAAAAATTAACTTTCGTGGAATTATATCTTAATTGGGGTTGATGAGATTAGAACTCATGAATTCATGAATTTCGCATGCCTTTTGCTTTATACTAGCTACTTGCTACTTCACACTTAATTTTTTTGCTTATTTAAGAACACTTTAAGGCGGAGAGTCTTTAAAATTTGACAATTTTTGAAGATTTATGACAAAAGTTTTAAGAGATTGCAGGTTAAGGATGTGTTTTTTGTACTAATATGTACGGAATAATTGAACAGCGTCATATAAGTGCTGCAACAAATGTCAAAAAGATTTCCGATAGACTTTCATATTCTTTGAGGAATCAGAAGAGGAACAGTCCAATTTTTAAAGAATTGGAAGGATTTGAACATTTAAGACATCTTTGCTTTTATACAGAGATTTAAGCTTCTTAACTCGGCTGTGAGTTGAAGCAACTGGATGGCAAAATAGTTAAGTACTTCGTTCTCTAATTATTTCAAACACTAAGTTCGAGACATTTTAAAAAAACACTACTTTGGTAGTCTGAAAGTGGAAATTGATCTAGAAAGAATTGACATTTTCTGACCTTCTTTTTTAAATAAAATCAAAATTTAATACCAAAAATTAATTTGAAAGATTTTTAAAATCATATCCATTGAGTAGCACACCCCAAGAAACAATGAAGTGAAAAATATATATTTTAAATTTTTATATTTTTTGTTAACATTTCGTCGTTTTTAGTTCCTTCAAAATAAAATTCTCGTTGAACATCAAGAAAACTTGTCTTTTGAAGGAAATTCTTTTTACATAAATTTAAGGATTTTTTTATTTCTATTTCTATTAATTTATCTAAATTTAAGTGGTTGGGGGGTTATTAAGTTAATCTAAAGAGAGAGTGGGAATAGTTGCTCTACGAAAATTAGAGAAAAAAGGGTTAAAGTGGAATAAATAAGAGGATTTTTTTTTGCCGTTTGGATTTTTTCAGTACCTAGTTTGAACATTTTTCACTCGCCCTAGTAGATCAACATGTCCAGCAGCATATTGTTCCATGACATCTTTAACATCGTATGGCTTTAGGGCTTCCTTAAATTTTCGTCGCGCTACGAAATACTTCATCTGTTCACAAAGGGTTTTAAGAGTATGAGACAAAAATTTTTTTTTCTTTGTTCTTCTTTTTTTTTAACACATAGATATACACAAAAAATATTAAGGATGGATTTTTTTTCTAGCACAAAAAACTAATTAATGAAAGGAGGAAAAAAATGCTGAAATTTTTCTTACACAAAAAACAGAAGAAAGGTCAAAGGGGGAGGGGGGTTCACATTCATTATGTATGTACTTAAATTATGTAGTGAAAATGGTAAGGAATTAGCCTAAAGAATTAAGTCAAATAATTTCCTTTTCATGTTGAAAAGATTCTATATTCTTGGAAAGAATGTATGGAATATTTTTAAAATAATGAAAAGCATGAGAGGGGAGGGAGTGGATTGAAAGTTCAACCAGATTCCATTTTTTTTTTGTTAACTTCTTTTGTTATGGAAGGAGTAAGGAACAGTATTATAGACAAAGAAAAGCTATAGGTATGGATATGAGATAAGTTTGAGACAATATAAATTTTCAGGATAATTAGAAACTAATGAATTTGACATAACAAGAGAATTTGACCCTACAAGGTAATTTGAATGTTATATTAAGGATTTAACATGCAAATTTATATCAGAACATGTAAATGCTCATAAAATCTGTTCTTCGTATTATTTACAAGATATTATTCAAGTTGTAAACAAATGTTTGAAAAAATACTTTGGAATTTAAATTTGTCTGTTTGAAAAGTGAGAAGAAGCAATGTTGTTTAAGCAGTAAAAGTTTTCGTGTGGGTGTCTTTAAAGGCACTGTCACCAAATACGTTCTTTAACAGTATCTTGTTGATATCAATGATCCTAATCCTAATTTTGTGGTTGAGAATGGGTTTTTTGAACTCTTAATTATTTAATTTAAAGTAGGGGATTATTTTAGAGCTTCCTGGATTAATTAAAAGATTGTTGTTTTTCCTTGAACATGAGATTGATCACTTTGCTTCGCCTTTGGTTACCTAGCTACTGTCATGTCATGAGCATTGTGCAAATCTTGTTCAAATGAAATGATTGGAAAAGTGATTTTTAATAGGAATCGAACTTATATCCACATACAAAACAGAATGCTACTGATTTCGGGTCTTGTCCCCAAACAGGAGGCCTCAGAAGCCTTACTATCTAATTGACAGATTCTTCTTCATATAACTTAAATCTTCAGATTGCAATCTTATTTAACATCACAATAACTGTCTCTAATAATCTAAGTTCATTCTACCTATCTAAAAAAGAGTTCATTGAATCAACATTTATTGCAGTTCATGTCATAATATTCAACTGAACACAAGTGTCTCCAAATTGATTGAAACATGGGATGCATAATACAAATATCTTCCATCCAAATGATTTCCCACTTGGATTGTTATGTGATTTTTGGATCATCAAACTCAAATATTGTCAAATTCTATAGTTTCTTAATGACTGCATATCCAAAAAATATTCATTATGAGCTCTTGCGCAAAATTATAAATGAGAATGATAAAGAATGTTCACGGGACAATTGACATAAATGGATTGGATAGAACGACATAAAAGGATAGAACATTTAATAAGTTGATGAGTCACAAGCATGAGGAAAAATTAAATAAAAATTCCTTTTGGGCTAAATGAAAGTCTAGAGATAGAATTAAGTAATAGAGGACAATAAGGTTCAACTAATGGAATAGCAATAATGGTAATGGTAATGAACCAAATATGAATCTCGTTCTGAAGATATAAAAAAAGGCTCACAACAAAATAAAAATGAAGAAAAGAAAAAGTAAAAAATGATTTTGACGATGGAACCTTCATCGATTAAGAAATCATCCGAAAGCTTTCTTCAATCAACTGTGAATGAGCATGATGAGAAAAAAGTTTTTAGATTTTTGACATACAAAGACACCGTATGCAATGAATGAGGATGATGAAAAAATAACAGAGTGGATACAATACGGGGGATTGCATGTCAACTAAAAGAATAAATTTTTTTATCATCGAAATGGAAGGAAAAAAAGATCAAAAAAGATATATTTTTATGATAGCATTTACCTTTCGAATGAATCTTATTGCTGCCTTGTGTTGATTTGTCAGTTGAACACAGTGAGGCTCTTCGTCTTCATCTATTGATGTTGATGTGGATATGCATTCATGTTCGACAAGCGAGATGTAAAAAAGAGAGGAAAAAAAGAAGAAGAAAAAACGATAAATCAATAAAAAATGTTCTCAAAATACATTTTAATATTTTATAGTGTATGCGAAGGGGTTGAATAACTCGGATGAAAATTTTCGAAAATTATTTTTCAGACTTTACAGATTTAAAGAAGCTAAAATATTTAAATTTCTGCACTTTAGCAGTACCATCTGCATCTTCGCAGTACCATCTGCATTTTAGGGTATTTTGTATTTTATTTGTATTTTGTATAGGGTTGCATTTTGGTGATTTTTAGATTAAGGTAAAAGTGGCCGGTGATTAGGTTGTAATTGATCTAGATAAATAGTGACATAGGAGGCAGGCGACAGAGAATAGTTATTAAATTGAAAGGCATCTTTAAATAATTTGTCGCAACATTCCTAGTTTTGTAATTAATTATAATTTGAGAAAAGGGACTAAACCCCCTTGCGCACCTTCAAGGCTACACTCATAACTAGTATTCAGCCATAAGACTGAAAATTACTAATTTATGAGATTCAGGCTTTGTGAGACAAATGATTAGAAAACAAACCGAGAATCTCGAATAATTGTACATGGGTTTGCACACAAGTTCTTATACACAAGAGCACCTAATTCAATATAAGAAGGTTGTTTGGGCCTATTTCTACTAAAATTGTCGGATATATAAAAGCCTAATCAGTTGCTCATTTATTTATCCTAGTGCACATGTCATGAGCTTGCTAGCTCAAGATTCCAATACAATCAAACTGCACAGTTTTAATAATAATCAAAAATTCATTCAATCTTGATTCAATCCGAGTTATTGTCCCCCCTTCATCTGTGTATGCAAAAGGACAAATATTGACAAAATGTATTAAACTCTCTGTCTCAATTCTATAAATATATCAATGTACGTATATGTTCTTGATATTCGAGCTTTTTCTGCACGTTGTAGCTTGAGTGGTGCTTTCAATTTAAATATCTTCTATATGCTGCTATTTTCAACAGTCTATGCTTGATTAAATTTGAGCATGATGGTGTGTATTTATTCAGAAAATAATAACAATAATGAAGCATTGAACTTTTAGCGAACAAAAAAAAAGTGTTTTTATGGTTTAAAATTTCCATAAAATGAAGCCATAAGCGTTTCTGAAATAAAGTTTAAGATTCTTGAAAAGGTGAATTAAGTTGGTTCGTTGGAAGCATAATTTGTGCGGTCAATTTGCAGACTTGTCAACAAACCTCATACTTTTGTATATTTTCCAAGAAATAATTAAATGAAAGTTATTATGACGAGTTGTTTGTGCCGTTGAGGATGTTTTTGGTTTGATTGGACTGTATTGTGAGCTTTTCTTTGTGATGGAAGTTAGGATAAAGTTTGAAGGTTTCGAATTTATTGAACTTTATGAGGCAAGTAATGAATTTTGATGAATTAATGAGAATTTCTTGAGTTTTATGCCTGAAAACTTTTTAATGAGGGTTTTTTGAAGCTTTTATAAGATGAACTGAATTGGATTCATCAGTGGAAAACGCACAATTGGAAAACAAATCAAGAAATAGGTCAGCACGTGGCTGATTTCTATTTTTTGGGCGTCTCATCAAGGACTCATTTTAGGGATCACTGGGGACTTTTGTTACATCCTATTCCTAATTTATTTATTTAAGTTTAGAGCCTTAATCGTCACTTGAAAAGCAATTTTCTATAAGAAAATATCCCAACCGGAATCATTTTAATTGTAGCTATCCTAATAACCCCAAACAACCTTGTAAAATCGCCACAACAAACCAAATCCCAATCCGACCTTCATGTCAAACCACAAATAAATTAAAAGTCCACCAAAAATCATTCACCACAAACTAATTCTCAAGCATGCGATTTCCATTGCTCCTTCTCCTTTTACCACAGCAAATTAAATTTTTTTCCTTTATAGACGAATAATTTGGGTTTGTCGACAAAAGATTTCTGATAACGACAGAAAAGGGCATTTTCACATGGCAACTAACATGTTGCTTGCTTCCAGTATGAAAGCACTAATGGTAAAAAAGAGCAACAGAACAAAAAGAAAGAAATAAGAAGAAATGAAATTCGGTAAGAAACAAAAGAAGAAGAAGAGAAATAATCAGCCACGCATCTGATGGTATATTGGGGTAGGTAATGGCAGGGGAAGGAAGAAGTAGAAGAAAAAAAAAATACTCGAATTTGAGAAGAAATAGAAAAACCTTTCTCAATACATAAATATCAGCTTTGAGCAGAAATAAATGGCAAAAATATTTTTTTTTCTTTTCCTCTTTTTCGTGAAAATTGGAATTGCTGTTGCTTTAATGGAAATTCGTAATTTTCTTTTTAGCTGTAAAATATTCAAGAAAATTGCGAAATCAATTTACAAGTAATTTATTTACTTCCAGCTAGAGTTTGAAAGCGGTCCATGTATTGTAAAAAGATAAATTCAATTTCATTTTGTGTCTCCCCAATTTTCCTTACGTCTTCACCATAGTCAATGTGCTACCTATAATTCTGAATGTCAGTTATGTGTCATACAAATTTATTCGAGCATGAACGGAGTGAATTGAGCTTTCCCGTTAAATTTAATGCTTTAAGGGAGGCTTCATGACAGGAAAAATGGTAAGTCTCATTGGTAGTTGAAGTACATGCTCGTTTGTTGAGTCTTTTTGATGCCAAACCTACAAAACATGCAATTACAATTTTTGCTGCCACAGTTTGCATTAAATTGCGGAATTCCTTTTAATTTAAATGCACATCCTTGAAACTTTTCACAGTTTACATATCATGTAAAGCACTTGAGAATTTCAGTCTGTGGAATAATTTAGTGATTTGCATTAAATTTAACGTTCGTCATGATGCGACCTTTGCACAATGTTATTTATAGAATTATCAAGTGATGTGCTTGAAATGTTAGTTTATGGAAATTATGGGGATATACTGAAGAATTCTGGAGGAAGGTTGAATAATTTGTTGACTGTGATTTATTTGCGTTTACTGAGGAACCTTGACTTTTGTGGAAATTGATGCAGTTTCGAGACATTTAACTTGAGACTCATGATTTATAGTGTGGACTGAGGAGATAGATTACAGTTAAATGTCCTTAGGTTTATAAATGGAGTTAAGTTCTCACATACATCCAGAAATGGAGAGTTGAATTGTAAAAGTTTAGGCAACGCTGTTTAACTGCGGACTTTTGAGCGAGTCAGTCTCGCGTTTTTGAACAAAGTCCCATCTAAAATCCCTAATATCCTGCTTTTTTGAACCCTTTTTGTTGAAAAATAGCAGAGCTCGAAGTCGAATTTCTAGAAAATGGTTGAAAATTTGGTCTGTTCCGCTTTGAGAGCTGAAGTCAGGCATGTCCCGTTTTTTGACCAAAAATTGACAAAAATCGCTGGAGTTTAGGTAGATCGAACGCCTTCATTATTAGTCCATTCTCGCAATTTAAAGCTCAATAAACACTCAATCCCCAAAACATTCCTATCACCTTTCATCAAAAATCCTCAAACCCGATCAAAAATTTCCACTCTCCAAAAACCGTAACAAATAACTTTACAGTACTAGACAGAAAATTGTCGATTCCTTAAATCCCTTAAAAAGGGTCTTTACTAATTTCATAATAAATATTTTTCTTCCTTTCCTATCGTATCATGCCGGTAAAATCAGTTTTAAGGATATTAAGTTGCCTTGATCAAAAAAGGAACAAGAAGAAGCTTTAATGTAGAAAAAAATTCGATTTTATTTCGCACATATTTTTCACTTAGTGGATGTAGAAGCAAGGTATCAGTACAATTAGATGTTGTGAATCCGGAAGACGTCCATAAAACAAAAAAAAAAAGTTGGAGGGAGTTCATTAGCACATTTATTGAATTTTTGATTAGGACATTCCGTGCCGCAAAAAAGAAGCTCGCGTCAATTATGGAGTTGGAAATGGAGGTGGGCAAGATGAAAGACCATGTAATGATAATAATGAATAAATGAAATTCCGTTCGTGTGCCTTAAATCATCAAGGGTAGTGGTGAAGAAAACAAGAAAAAAAGATAAAGGTGAACATAGCAGATGTCAGAGGCAAGTGCTGCAAGAATTTATATCTTAAGCCACGGAAAAATTTGTTCTTAACAATATCTTCGTCTATTGCCTTTAACCGTGCCAATCTGTGCATAATCATTATACAAGACTGACCGTCTTTAACTTTGTATTTACATTAGAGTATATTGAGGGGGGTAACAACATGATAAGGAAAATTTTGAACACGAATTCATGCCAAAAATTTGATAGAAAAAAATGGCGGGAACTTGATGAGAATATTTCATTAAAACATTTTCCCATCATGTTGTTCCCCCCTTAAAAAGTCTCTTTTCTGTTCTGTGCAGACAAAAAAAAATTATGAAAGCGAAATAATAAAATTACTTTTCAGGCAGTCGTCCTCATAGCTTGAAAGACGACGAGCAAAGATTTATGGAATTAAAAAAAAAAAAGAAAGAAAAATCTTTATAAAGTTCATTACTATTACTATTCATTCTACTAGTGAATTTCTTGTTGCCTGACTCTAAACTTCTATGTCCATGTCGTGGTGAAAGTGAAAGAATGGCACTTATAAAGCTGAACCTACGATTCTCTATTGTCATGGTCGTTAAACTACAATTTTTTGATGTTAGCTTTACATTTGTACTCTTAAATTCGTTCGCCTGCGTCTTTTGAGACATTCGAGCTGCATCACTTGAGTTTGCTAAATGTGCTTCATGTACCGAAAATTGTTTTTTGTATTTTTTATTGTTTTATTTTTTTTTTGGAAATAACAAAAATTGTGACCAATTGAGAATTTCAATTTTGGTATTCAGTGTTTTTTGTAATCAGATTCCGAAACAGAAATAAAATGTAATTTTGGAAAAAGAACATTGAGAATAGTAAGAAAGAAGTAAACAAAAAGGTAGAATTTTTTTACGTGCAAAGGAAGAAGAAAGAGAAAAGAAAAAAAGAATAAAATAAAAGTAAGAGGAACAATTTGTTTTGTTTTGGGAATTTCACAGAGTTGGAAGACTTGAGGTGCTCTGGTTTAAAGATTGGAACCTTCTTCTTAACAATTCTGTTGTTTGAAGAAGTTAATGAGTCAAACCATTATAGCACAAGCCGGTTAATTGAATAGAAATCCAGCACCATGCCAGAGTCATGCCAGATTGGTGCTTGACTCTATTCGATTACCCGAATTAGAAAAGTGCTTTGCAGAAATTGTTGGATCTTAAGATTTAATTCTGATTTACTTAAAGTCACTCTCGCAATACCTGGCTATGTCTGAAGAACAATAAAGATGAACTTTTAAAGAAGTTTGATAGAAAATTAATTTTAAATTTTCTTTCAATAATCTAAGTACATGCATATAAAACTGTTACTATGCTTGATGGTGAATAGTTTGAAAACCACTGCTCTAAGGTATCAATTTATAGTATCTAGCTCTAAAGAAAGAATCAGACTATATGACTTAATCAGATTAAATGCATATAATTGATTTGAAAGATACAATTAGATGCCTTCATTGAGTTTCGAACCTTAGATTGATAAGTTTAGAATTAAATAATTGAAATTCAGCACGACTTACATACTGAGCCATAAAACCACATCAGTTCTTATTACTATAATTGCAGCTTTTGGTTTTTAAGTCTTAAAAGTATTAAATACTGTGAATATAGCTGATCTGATCCTGCTAAGACTTTTGAGGACGAATTGGATTTTATTTTATTCAACAGTAATCTGGTTCATATTTAATTTTGTATTAATAAATAATGGTTAACGCCAGGCTAACGCATGGTCTTTACACTACCAAATGCATTCTTCATAAATTTAAATTTCCCAACTCTGTGAAAAGTGCTAGAAGAAATAAAACGTAAAATTATCCTAAATATCTATGTATACAGTATATGCATAAGTGAAAAATTGTATGTTCTATGTTCCATGAAGTTTATGCTAACGAATCAATTGCTATCAAGTGTTAATAAACCTCAATGGAATCAAAATCAAGTCTTCTCATTCCACCACATACTTCTTTTATTTTTTATCTATCGTGCTCTTGACTTTGTTGAAAAAATTCTTTTGTGTCGTAAAAGTTATCTCTTTTCAATGTTCATTACTTTATATCAAATTAATTTTTTTTATATGAAAAGAAAGGAATGATAATAACATTTTTCAGTTACGTGTTCATTGTCAATCACCTCCAACCCATCTTCTTTAGACAAAAGAACTTACACAGAGAAAAGAACTAAGTTTGTAAGCACTCTTACGTGATACTTACCATCGGAATTCTTTTTAGCGAGGGCCGTCTCGGCAACAGAATCTTCTGAGAGACTCGCGTTCATTGGCTTCCCATTATTGGTCACATCTGTGAATGGATAATGAATGTTGGTTAAATTGAATAATGTGATTTGCTCCCTATGCAGTCATTGTGTGAGATTATTATGTTGAAAGAATAAGTCAGCATGAGAGTGGGGGGTTATTCATTAATCACGTCTAGTATTTACTGATTGGTAAGGAAGGAGAGAGCGCTTCAAATAAGGGCATTTTGAGAAGGCGGAGGGGGGAAACAACTTGGTGGGAAAAAATCAATCGAGTTTTCACTAGCTTTTCACTAGTTTGTGACTAGTTTATCTCTCGTTTGTCACTCGTTTGTCATTCGTTTGTCACTTGTTTGTCACTCGTTTGTCACTCGTTTGTCACTCGTTTGTCACTCGTTTGTCACTCGTTTGTCACTCGTTTGTCACTCGTTTTTCGTTCGTTTGTCGCTAGTTTGTCGCTAGCTTTTCACTATCTTCTAACTAGCTTTCTATAAGTTTTTCACCATTTTCCTTACAAAAAAAAAATATGCAAAAAGCTGTTTCCCCCCTGCAAATGTGTAGGAAAAAATAAATCTAATATTTTAATAGACATCATATATGAACAACCCCTAAGTATACAATATAAATATTTATGTAATGGATCACATACCGAGATTCTCAGATGAATTATTGATTTCATTCATTGTCCTTGGACAATTTCGACCGCGTTGACTACCACCAGCAGGCTTCAATTGATTACCCGGCGAATGTAAAGACTGACTTTTATGACGACGAATTGTTGGAAGTCTCGCCACAAAAGATGCATTGTGCTTGAAGCTCGATGATGCTCGCCTAATAAGCGATTTTGAAGTAAATCCATTGCTTTATTATTTTATCATATCAATATTTAAAATTTTTTTTTGTTTGTTCATTTATGCACATTTAATGTTAATTTTTAGACAATGAATGCAATGAATATTTTATATGATGAATATGAAAGTGTTTCATTGTCCATTTTGTGTAGTCAATATTTATTTGGATATAAATGGATCATGAATGTGCATATTTGAATGTTTATATGTAAAATTTATATATGAGTATATTCAGAACACGTAAATATTTTACACAAAAAAAAACGTGAACAAAACCAATAATTAGCATTAAATGATATATTTTTTTTGGCATTAACAATCAATTTTAAAAACATTAACAAGTTCATATCCAAAATAATCCAAAATTTAAATTAAAAAATCATTCAATCGAGCGAGCACAAGAAACAAAGATATGATATGTTGTTGGTCGATATCATTCAGATAGTCAGTGTGTTTTGTTTTGTGTGGATTTATGCAAATGATTAACATAAAAATGTTACAGGACAGGGTAAACATATAAGAGAGAAAAAAAACATGTAAAAAGCAAAAATATTAAAATTAATAAAGACTGTTGTTAAACATAACATTGAGGATATATGATAATAAATTAAATATGTTTATCCAGGATATATTTTAGTTACCAACATAAGTTTATGAGTTTGTTTAATAGAAAAAGTCAGATGCTTTAGAATCAGAGGTCATTAAACTATGATGCTCAACATTTATTGCATTTAGCACTGGGGCGGGAGTTGATGTTTGAGCTATCATCCTAATGGTTCAAGCCATTTTTAAAGACCTTTAGACATAGAAGAAAAGTGGAGTCCTTAAACATCATTAAAGAGAGATCCAATTTCTAATTAAGTTCTCCAGTACATAGAGCAGTTCTTTGGAGTCTTGTCCCAGCTTTTAAACTAATAAAATAGAATTTTATTGAAGAAACAATTTAAGATGCTCACAAAATCGAAATGTATGAGAAAATGTCCAGATTCTCTCAATCTGACGCTTTTATAAAATATCTGACTATGATCTTAACAAGTACCTAAATTGCTTGTATGTTGTATGCATCAACAATTCTTAGGATGTACATTTAAGTAAATGAAACTTACGAAAAACATTATTCACTTTTGAAATATTTTCAACAATTTTTAGAAATTTAATTCTGAGAAATGATTTTATTTTAATTAATTACAAATGTATAAAGCAGTGATTGCCAACCCGTGTGCCGTGTACGGTTTTGGTCATGGCTTACAACAATAGTGTGCCAAGGCACAAAAAAGGTTGCCCAACACTGCTTTAAACTTTTGATTACACTAAAATTTGATTAAAACTCGAATGAAGTTTCCTGATTCATTTGATAAACATTTTGGACTTACAGGTAACCTACATATCCTGAATGATAAACATTCCTAAAAGATAAAATATTTTGGTTTTTGAATAAAATAAAATTGTTAAAGAAATAATTTTTTAAAATAATAAAATAATTAAGTAAGCAAAATAAAATTAAGTACGCAAGGAACACGGATGGAAAAATATTCAAATAAAATTTTTTATTCACGGGCTGTTCATAAATGACGTTCATTTTAGGGTTTTTTGGTTGAGTTTCTGAAAGACACTCAAGGGGTCAAGAAAATCCTTTAGTTTTGGAGAGGAGATTCTTAGGATTTTTTCATATACCCTTGGCATAATGAAGAAATTTCTATTAACCCGGGGGGATTTATCACCCAAAACCCTTTTGTGGACATGAGTCTGATGACACTCAATACAGACATAGTTTGAGACATAGTCGCATGGTTGAAATATTTCAGTCTTTGACGTCATTTGTGAACAACTCTGAAAAAAAAAATCATTTTGAGGACAGATCACTAATGATTTTACATAAATGTATGATGAAACATTAAAACCCCATATTATAGAGAATGCCCCCGATTTCGCAATATTGTTTTTTATGACAAAATATAATTGTAATTTTTGATTTATTTTATCCAAGCAAATATTGCAAATCGAGGACCCCCAGCATACGTTCTCTCCCTTGTCACATCTTCTGCCTGAAACTCAAATAAAACATCAAAGAAAATTTTTTTTCCGTGAAATAAAGACATGTGTCCCAATCAGCACTATTATCTCCATATTATTAAATAACTCTGACTTTGTTGCAGACAAATATGACAAGGCATGAAGACAAATCACAATATTTTTCCCATAGAAAATAATCAAAACATAAAAATGATGTTTTATATCAGATATAGAATATCAATGGTCGTTGTGGTAACATCTGCAACATTTTTGCATCTTCATTGTTGTACAGTGAATTGCAGATTATTCCACAAGAATTCCCACAACAATTCTAAATCTGATGTGTGGGAGTCGTTTATAAATGATGTCCAAATTTTGTTGAGGGGGAGAGGGGGGGGTGCTGTTGTATGCTTCCATAGAAAGGAGAATAAGAAGGGGATATTAAAAAAATGAGTGATTGAAAGACGGAACTTATAGACGACCTCTAATTGGGTCTAATATAAATAACGACCAAAATTAAATGTTTTTTACAAATTGTTTGGATACATTTTAATCCCTCTCTAATTGTTGTGACATCATTTATGAACGACCCTTTATTTTCTGTGTGTGTATTCCAATTATTCGTTCAATGAAAGACTTTTACGATACCTAAATGACTGCATCATTCATTAAAAAATAAATCCATAAAAAAAAACATTCACAATAAAGAATTTTAAAAAGCTTTTTTTTTTGTATAATAAAAGCTCATTTGTGTGACTTAACAAAGCATTAAAAAACGTGTGTATAAACTTTTTTCATATATCAAATGTGTGTAATAAGCAAATAGGAAATCATCTACAAAGCACGGATGTTATGTAAATAATCGACTCTCTATTAATATCTCTGGGTCCTTTTCATATTTAAAAAGCAGTAACATAAATAAAATTATTCACAATTTCTATTATAAAAAAAAATACGTCAAAATTGATTTTTGTTTTGCGTTGTTCGTATTGTCTATGCCATATGCTGCATAGTAGGTATCATGTAAGTATTACACAATTTTATTCGATACCATAAACCTTTGTAAGCAATTTTGATTTTCATTTTAAAAATTATTTTATTTCTATGGTTAAATGAATTTCAATAGAATTTTGATTTTGCGGATTATTTTATACAAAGTATTAGGGTAGAATATAATGAGGCATATACTTTATATTAGCTGTAATGTTTCTAAAAAAAAACATATCCAAGTGATCAAAAAAGGAATAAAATTTTGAGAATAAAAAGCTCAGTTCTAAAGTAAAAAATTTTCATTTGAATAATGGCAAAAAGTACTTCGAAAGGTTTCGGATTTGTGTTTTTTTTTTCAATTTATTTGTTGAATTCAAATTTGGAATATTTTTGTATTTATTTCAAAAAGCCAAATCTTTAAAGTTTTGAAGATTTTCAAATTTTAAAATTTTGCTTCAAAATTCAGTTTTATTTTTCCATAAATTTGAAATCTAAATTTTGAATGACTTGAAATTGTTTATTATTATAAAAAATTGAATTCAACGTTTTTAAAATTTTGAATCAAATTTTTAATCAAAAAAAAATTGAATTCAATTTTAAAGAAAAACTTGAATTCAATTTTTTAAATAAATTTGAATTCAATTATTTAATTAAATTTAAATTCAACTTTTTTAATTAAATTTGAATTCAATTTTTTAATCTTTAATTTTTTATATTTTTTAAAACTGATGTATTCTAAAATTTTAAAAAATTGTAAGGTTTTTCATAAGTTTAATTTTTTTAAATCTCTTTAAATGTAAACTCAAATTCAATGAAAACTTGCAAATTTAAATTCACAATAGTATCGACATTTTTCAAAAAAATCAAGTTAAAATCTTCAATCCGATTTTATAATCAAATCCCAAAAATTGAATTTCATTTTTCAACTCAGATATTTCAAAATTAATTAAACCTTTTTGAAGCACTTTTTCTACCTTTGATTTTCAATATCTAGACAAAAAAGAAAGCAACAACATCGATTCTAAACATCTTAATTAGACTAATTAAAGAAATCGTTCAATTAGAATAGAAAAAGATAGAATAAGGTTGGATTGAAATTATAAGGATCAAACAACAATTGTAAGTATGTCCGGTTGTTAAATTAAAAGCATTATTATTCTTAAGCATTAAAAAATATTTCATAACAAAAAGAAGATAAAAAGGTTCGAAAAATATTATCTAAAGGTCAAAAAACAACATTTAAAATCGATATTCAAAAAGCGCTATTGGCTTGGAATGTTCCTCAATAGGGATGGATAAATATGTAAATTGGTAAGTATCCATCAAACTTGATATCAAGCTTTTTTTTATATGAGTATGCGTGTGTATGTGTGTATTGTTTGTTTTATGTATTGTTGCTGTATTACCGTTACATGATTCGCGATACATACTTGAAAATGTATTTTTCCATTAAATCGAAACGTTCTCATGGCTTGCTCATTGAACATATGGAGTACGAGGAAAAATTTCTATATTTCTACGCTATTGTTAAAGTTCATGATCTTTATCATTTTGATATTGAGTCAGAGTTGGAACTTTTTTGATTTTTTTTGGATGCAAAAAATTATTTAATTTTTTAAAGATGCTTTATTCTCTATTATGAAGTCAATTGACCTTAACATAGTAATTTGGAAACTATGTAGCATGGCTTAGTGATCTAGTCATCAAAATATCCAAGAAATATCCAGAATATTGACTTTTTGACACTCAATTGTTAATAACATTTAATTTTGTTTCCATTATTCCTAAATTCATAAATTAGATTTTGATCAATTTTGATCATTTTCGATCATTTTGATCAGTTCCGCACTCTTGAAGGCCCCACAAAATCAACAAAACCTAAAATTCCTCCCTTTATTACAACTCAAACCCCCAAAAGATCTCCAACTCTGACCCAAATGTTCAATTTCAAATGAATTTCAATCACTCTTCTCCAAATCAATATTATGCTACATCCATACATTATACTGGATTAAACTTTATCATTTATACGAGAATAAATCCAAGAGATTAATTTGATTAACAAATATTTTCGTTATCGATTTGCAAATTCACTTTATAATCCAATGAGATTAAGTTCAATTGCTGGATTAAATTTGCTAACTTATCGATTTTTCCAGCAGATAGGTGCAGTATTGTGAAATATTTATGGGCTATTTAATTTAAAAATCGATGTTATGCTCAATAGCTGAGGGATTTTTATGTCTGTTTGAAATATTTTTTGTATATACTGGATGTGAATGAATGTTGGATATCCAGTAGCATGAAATAGTAATAAAGGAAAATATTGCTGTGGAATTGTCTTATTAACTGAGGCGTAGCTAGGACCAATTATGAACGCAAATGGAAGGTTTTACAAATAAGATAAGCGGTCCAGTCCTCTTTGGATCCTCTAACTCTGGCTATGTCCTTGTAAACGAATTACTTGATAATAACTTCCAAGCTGTGATTTTTAAACAAGTCTAGTCTAAAGCACTGAGAAACATCCAAGAAACTAGCTCTTTATAGCTACTCAGACTCTACAAGTTCCTTCAATATCCTCCCACATTTCAGAAAAGTCTTTGTTCAATTTACTTGATTTAATTTATTTATTTTTATATCCTTATACCTTGGCATTTCCATTTCATATGAAACTTGACTAAAGACATTGAATGCAATTTTCAATGCCAAGACTCAATTGTTAACAAGCTTGAAATAGAAGTCAGAAGTTACTGCAATTTCTCTCGAAGCTAGAAAATTTCTTTATCAATCTAATTTAAAAATTGAAACAGTTCCAAATGGAATTTGAAATTTATGTGATATGAAAAATCATTATAGAGCAAGGACATGCATGAAAGCTCCTTATCGAGACAATTCATTTTGTTCAAGGATAGCTAAAGACTCAATTAAAGTAATTGATTTCTCCCATAAGACCCATCATATCTGCAGTTCTCAAAGACTTTTTTTTTTCACGGTTCAAATGACTAAACGTCACGTGAAATAATGGCACAATGATGCTGTAATGATTGTATGATGTGTTGTTATTATATCTTCACATAAAGCTCTTAACGGGAGCAATACATAATGTTATGACTGAGTTTATGCTTTCTAATGGCATTTAATAGATGTTAGATATTTCCACAGCATATTGTAATGATTTTTATGTTTGGTAAAGTTCCAAGAATATTTTTTTTTGAGTTTATGAAAAGAAAGGCTTTACAACAAGGGGATAACAACATGATGGGTAATAGTTTTTATGGTTTTCATAGAAAATTCCATCAAAAATTAGATTTTCGCTTTTTTAGAACAATTAGAATGAATTTCTTTTTTCAAATTTTCTCACTATGTTGTTTCCCCCCTGCTTTACATGCCCCTCATGAGTAAAATTTCCAAAAAAAATGAAGAAGCATACAAAATGAATATTTTTTAAAGTCAATTCCTTTTAAATATGAAAAAAAGTCTGTTGCATAAAACAATCATAAGCTCTCTCTATGGATATATGTAAGAACAATGAATTTTATGTTTTGAAGGCTTTTTTTTTGTTTTTTGTTCCTGATTTGATTATTTGTATCTTTTTTCTTTCAAGTCCTTAAATCTTTTTTTTTTTTGATGAGATGATGCTATGTTGGCGAAAGACTACAGATGGAGAAAGCAGATGAAAAGCTTCAAATTTCTATATTCTAAATCCCATAAAAATTATGGCATAAAAAATGATCAAAAAGAAGGAAAAAAAGCATTCAAATTTTTCTTTTTCGTACATTCATCATGAAGCTATGACGATCCTCAACAGCACGAAATTTTATTATTTTTATATGACGGATAAGTGACTATAGATTAGTGGTATACCAAGAAGGAGGTGACCTTGAAGGTCTTTAACAAAGCTGAAGAGCCAAAATCCTTGTTAAGTCATTATTAGAGATAGACATTCACCCTATGGAAGATCCCTACTTACAATTAAGTTCAAATTGAATAGAAAGCTTCGTCATGTTGTTCTAGAACTACATTTGACCATCTTAATGGCTGCCTTCGTCGTATCAAAGCACTAACTCGACGCTTCCTCATCAATTTGAACTTCATTGTCACCCAATTCAAATAAAATTACAAACTTATGTCAAACCATGTCAAATGACGTTCAAAAATGGACACAATGTAAATAAAGTCACTAAACTTTTAACCAAAATTAGAAAATAGTTACCCAATTATTGCCTGCGAAACCAAATGTTTTCTTGACTTTAATGACATTAAAGGCTTAGATTCACATGTCTCTGAAAACAACCTGTCCTATACCAAAATTCATAAGTTCACATCACCAATGTATGAATTAAATCACATGAGAATAAAATTTGTCAATAAAAGGATTTTTTTCAAAGCAGAACTTGTTGATATTTTGACAAATGAAAATGCTATTTTGGCTTACCCGTAGTGGGACTTTAAGTTTGACATTATGAAAATTTTCTTCGAGCTTCGGCTGAAACTAAAATTGTAAAAATATTTTTTTATTGAATTTCATTGTAGACATATGTGTATGGCATTTATGGACATTATACAGGAGGCTTTTTTATGATTTTATCTTTTATGAATCGAGTCTCAATAGGAAATAGTTTTTGGTAATTTTTGAGTTTTTTTTTTCGGAATAGGTTTGGGTAGCTTCTTTTATGAAACATATGAAGTTTTACAACTTAGAAGGAATTGAGGTTAATTTTGGAGCTTAATTCAAATAATTTATGATTTTATGAATGTTGTGACTTTAGTAGGGTTGCGCAAATATTCGAATATATTCGAATATGAACAAAAAAATATTCGAATATATTCGAATACGATTCTGCCCAACTCTAGACTTTACTCGAAGGATGATAATGGGTTTAGGTTAAAGAAGTAAAAGCAGATAACTTGTATTGTTATTCAAAGCATTTCGTAGAAAACTAATAAGTCGCATGCTCCTTCCCGCACCACACTGGCATACACTATTGTCACTTCTTGGATTTTTTTTTGGGAAACAGTAAAGCTCCGTGGAGCATAGTTTGAGAAACTCTATTGATACTTATAAAATAAAGGGGGGGGGAGGTGAGGGAGAAGGTGTCAATATATGAAACATTCAAGGTGTATACACTCGGAATTAATTTCAAAAATCCCAGCACATTCTGTCATCAAACTTGGAATCCGTCCGTACTTTATTTACGTTGATAAATAATTGACGGATTTCATTAAGGATTCTAAGTTTGATGACAGGAAGTACTGGGATTTTTTGGGTTTTTTGAAATTAATCTTAAGTATATACGCCTCGAAAAGAATTAATAATAAATTTAAATTTTTTTTAAGCAGCCATAAGCTACCACAAATAAAGTTCAAATTTGTTCTAAAGTCAACGAAGTCAGTCACACATTTAAAACCGTGAAAAAACACTTTATGCTGTTGAGATTTTTTTGCTATTTTTTCATTCTCCCCAAAACAAATTTAATTTAACAATTTTTTGCATCATTTCAGAAATCCAAAGGAAAAAAAGTAAATTTCAAACATTCTAATATCAAAAAAACGCACCAAACAAGAAAAAAAATTGAACAAAAAAATAGAAATAATAACAAAAACATCATTGCGCAAAGAGAACTTACATAGCAGCAGACACCGGCGTTATTTTATCAGGAGGTTCCAATTTCGATCTTTATGTTGCGGTCGATATTGTAATAATTTTTTATATGATTCAATTATTAAAATTATTATTTTTTTCGTGTATATTTCGCATGTTGTAGCGGATTTTGAATATTTTTTTTATGATTGAAATTTTAAAATTTGCAATTTTGATTTTTTGAGTGATTAGAAATTTTTCAATACACGACAAATTTTTTGATTTTTAAAAATAGAGCAATTAAAATTAGCAGGAGCAGATAAAAATGAAAAGAGAGAAAAGAAAGAAATAAAAAAAAAATATTGAAGCTTTTTTCATTATCTTTTTTTATCAGGATTATTTGTTCATTATTGTCACTGATACAACGAAAAGTAATTTAAAAATAAAAATCAAAAGTTAATAAAAAATAATTAAAAAAGAAAAACTTTTGAGGATCATGTCTTGTGCAGTAATTGAAAAAATTTGTGCGAGAGGAACTTTCCGGTTGTTTGAAAGCTTATCTTGAAAGCTCATTAGGCATCTCAGAGAATCATTAAAGCCTTTATTTAGTAAGTATAAGCATAAATTCTCGTAAAATAAGCGAGTGAGAGAAGAAATTTATGGCATAGCCACAGACTTTTCATTAGCATTAATTGAGCTTTTTATTACTCCCTCTCTTTTTATATATTTTTTTTTCATTAAATTGCGTAAGTGTAAATTTGTTTGTCAATTTTGTGTTTTTTTTAGTCATAAAAAGTAGCTGTTTTTGTTGGTGCACATAAGTAAAACTTGTGTTTTGTGAGAGATATAACCAAAGAAGTAGTAATTAAAGAGAGTATTATTGACGTAGATGAGCAAGGAAAAACAAAAAGTAAGTAAACATTAAAAGAAAGAAAAAAAAGTAGAAAAGAAAAAAAAGTTTTGAAAGAAAAACGAGAAAAAAAAGTATTTTAAATGAAAAAAAAAAAGTCTTCCGTGAGTTCACAGGAAGGAAAAGACGAGGTGTCCGGGGATGAAAACTCTTTGAATTAATCCAAAATAATGTTCATTTTGTAATGTTGATTTTGATAACTATTATTCCCGTGTTTTAAAATAAATGGACCATCATATACTAAATCTAAGTTTACCAAAAATAACTCTACCCTAGTCACAGTCCTCATTTATTAAACCCTAAATTGTACATCAAAATATCACAAAGATTTTCAATCTTAATGTACCCATAGCAGGGGCGAAGCCAGAAAATTTTTTCAGGGGGGGCCCATTTTCGAAAATTAAAAAACCGTTATTTTGTATCCTTAAATCTATATTCATTCTTCATAAGTTTAAATATTTAATTCATTATTCATACATTAAATTTAATTTTTCGTGCTGATTTTGACATTTCTTTAATCACTTCCTCTACATTAACTGGTTCTTCTCTATAAATACTTAATAAAACAATTATCAGATTTTCGTAGGGGGGGGGGGGGGCCCAGGCCCCCCATGCCCCCTCCCCCTGGCTACGCCCCTGACCAATAGAAACCAGTTTCAGCTTCATCAAGCATTATTCCACTTGTCAGCACAATGTGTCTAATTGAGAAACTGTTGAAATTAAAGAAGCAACAAAAGAATCACTTTTATGCAATTTTTAGATTAAAAGAAAATATTGCAACTTTTATTTGTTTAGAATTCAGCCGTGACGTAAAAGTTTGCAATTTAAGTTTGTAGGACATTATAAGTTCGAGTCCCACTCGCAGTTGCAGATCTTGAAATCTCTGCGTCAGTTCTTATGTCTTAATTATTGAAACTCTTAAATTTATAAAATTTTGAGAATTTTGTCGTGACTTAGAAAGCCTCAACATCCCCAAATCTATTCTTCCTTAACCCTTTGTCAGGGGCTTATCTAGAAATATTTCAAAGTAGGGGTTAGCGAAAATTTTAATAAAGAGCTTTAAATTTCTTTCTTAGAAAACCTTAAAAATTTAATAGCTTCCAAATTGGTGAATATAAAATTGTTCCCTAGCTATGCACCTGCTTTGGGCAACTTTAGGCAGGGTGAGCAGATATGTTTTTGAAAAAATAAAGGACCTGAAAGTAAGACGAATTAGAACAAAACAAAACTATTTGATTTTTGAAAAATGAAAAAATTAGAGGACTGTCCTCTGAATAACTAAGCAGATGGTCTGTCTACTTATGAGTTGTTTACTAATTACGGAACACAGTGGGGGACAGGGTGTTTGAGATTTTCTAACAGTTTAAACAAAAGAAGTTTTTCTTAATGCAAATTTTTTGAAGGAGGAAGCAGTTTAAAAATTTGTTTTTGCACGTTAAGAAACTAGTGAACTGCTCCTTTTACATTTCTCTATATCAGTCTTGTTCAAACTGCGTACCGCGGCACACTTGTGTGTCGTAGAATTTTTTGAAAGTGACGCAAGCTTCATGCTGTGTGCGCCTTTGGTCATGACTTATGCTTAAAGTGTGCCGGAGCTCGAAAAGTTTGGACAACACTGCTCTAAATTAATTCAAGATTTTAGATAAATTTAACATTTTTTCAAAATGAAAGAGGTTTAAAAAAAATTGTCAAATTGAAATTCAAAGCAATTGTTTTAATTTTTAATAGTTCCTGAATAATCTTAAAAATCCCCAAGATAATCGAGTTTCCATCCACAGTAAATCATTATAAAAACTAAAAGAAAGAAAAATCTCTGAGAAATGAAACTGATGTTTAACTTTAATTAATTTGTTCAGTTTCGAATCATTACAGATTCACATCCGTTTGTTTTGTTTTAAATTGGAATAACAATAACAGAAAGAAACGATTCGTTTCATGTTTTTTTTTTAAATAAAACTCAAATTAAAAAAACGAACACAAAATTACAAAACAAAAATTAAAAACGAGATTATTTTACTTGAAACTCAAAAAAAAACTTAAAATAAAATAAAAAAAATTATTTCCACTTCGGTATTGAGTTAGAAACAAATATAATTAAAAAGAATATTAATATAATCAAATCTCACTTTTATTGCAACCAACAAAACCTACCTAAATTTACTACCCAGTCTGTCCGTCGATTATTTGCAATTTATTTGGAAAATTCATTGGTTTTTAAAAGAGATTTCAGATTTTTTTTTTCATAGATATTTTTTTTGAGCATTTTATAAAGGAAGTAGATAGAAGTAAAAGATGATCATAAAAAGAAGAAGAAAAAATAATAAAAAAAATTGTCATTAGAATTTTTCTGCTGCTTTAAACTACTTGAAAAAGAAAAAAAAAGTATAAATTTATAAGAAATAAATCCTTAGTAAGTAAAAAGTATGTCAGTTATCAACGTTAGGGGGGTTATAAAGGCATAATATTAAACATAGATTTTTTTTTCTCCCAAGTGAATACGATGCGCATTTCGTCCTGAAGAGTAAGTCCTTCAATGTGTCGTATTCATTTCTTTCAATCCTTTCACAAATCGACACATCTTGTATTATTATTATTTACGACATAAGGTGACATTTTAAAGATTTCTTCGATTTCTTTATTATTTGAGTAAATATTTTTTTTCCTCTGAAAAAGTCTGTATTCGTATGGAATGTATGTGTGATGGAATTTATGATTTTTTTGTGTATTTGAGTGTTTATGAATATGACAACTTAAGCAAATGCATCTTATGTGAGAAATGGATTTAAGGGTGAGTTTTCTGTTTACTTTTTGAAGTTCTTCAACTTTTTAGAGCATTTTTGTCCAACCTTTGTGCCGCGACACACTAGTGTGCCTAAGAAAAATTCAGGAAATGTCAGAAAATGCCATGCTGAGTTCGATTTTGATGGTGGACTACCACTAAGGTGTGCCGTGGGGTAGGAAGATTGGACAACGCTACTCTTTGAAGGGTTGGTAGATTTTCGAGTTCCATTTTGAATTTAGAAAAAATTGAAAAAAAAAAACATTATTGCTTAAAAATCGTGAAAAAATGAACCCCCCCCCTTTACCCTATATTTTACCTTCCAATCCCAATTTCAAAAAAAAAAAATCTAGCTACGCTTTTGTTGATTCTTTTTCAGTTTAACTTTTAATAGACGACTTTAGACTTTAAATTTGCATGTTTAAATTACGTCAAAACAGCTCCTAATAGACCTACTAAGTTTTGAACCTTATATCACTAAGGTCGATAGTTTATTCTACCAAACTTTACCTCTACAATGTCACAGACCCACTTGAAATTCAATTCATCTCACAATAAAATTCAATCTAATTTATCCAGTTCAAGTGCTTAATTTCATGCACAACTAATTTCATCCTATTTCAAAACCATAACCACAAGGATATTAATACCAAATTGTTTACAATAAAGAAAGTTGATTCCTTCAATCATCCCAACCACAACTCATTAACTCAACTTACATAAAATCGAATAGCATAACAACTTGATTCCCTTTTCAAAATATCCCCACAAAGTTGTAAACAAATCAGAAACCCATCCATCCACATCAATATTCCTTCAAGATTAAAATTGAAATGTCTACTCAACTCACAATTCATTTCTCACATTAAGAAAAAATAACACAAATTAAGTTGCCATGCCTCTGTTTATGACATAATGTAATGTACTTGTTCGTGTGATGTTTATTTTCTTGTTTACATTTACAAGGATGAAATTCATACAAAAAAAGGGTGGTTTGTCAGTGAAAATATTTGCATGATAACACCTATTGTATGTACTTCAACAATAGTGCAACATTTAACGATTATAATAATAAAAAAACTTTCTGCTTTGTAACATCAAAGTTACATCGTAAAAGTATAAAAAACAAAGTTTTTTGTGATTTTATTTTTGCAACATTAATTAAGGAATGGATTTTAGCAGTTTGTACAAAATAATTATCATATGCTTTTACTGCAGAATAGAGGAGGAGGGTAATACACTCAGAATGACACTAAAAAGGTGTGAATTAAAAGGGGTCATACAAGCTTGAAATTGTGCATTCACATGGAGACAGTATGGATGGAGAGATGCAAAGAGGATCAACAAAATGACAGTAAATTGGATTTAAGGGGTACCGAGCAGGATATGGCTATGATGTTGTGCTTTATGGGGACTATGGATGGTGATGGAGCAAAAGAAAATAGTTTTTAAACTTTTATCGTTGAGCTCAATGCAAATCCTAATCACTAAAGAGCTTGGTTTGTGCTTGATAATACAAGGAATATCAATCTCGAATCTAAACTTTTGTGACACTATGCACCATTTTTGAGTAAAAATTCTTTTACTCTTTGTCACTTTACCACCATGACTAGATGTGGCTCACTGACGACTCTTTTAAACTGCTCAAGGATCAAAGCACTAAGGCCTTAACTACATACATACATACATTGCTGGATTTACAAATCAATTGTGATCCATAGCCTCCCTTAAGGCCTTAAACTTAATCAACAAAATGCAAGATCTGAACTTGATAACACAAACAATAAAACTCAGATTTAGATTTTTTGAGGATTAGTATGTAAATATGGCTCGAAGAGCATATCAAAAGGAGACAGGCCTGAGCATAGATCTCACTTTGAAACTGGTTGTATGTGTATAACGGATAGCCAAAGTGAGATAAGTACCTCGGTAGCCGAGTGGCAGGGATCTCTGCTCGAGTGTTCAGATATTGCCTCTTTTGATGTCGTGGGATCGATTCTCATCAAATTAGACTTGCTCTACATTAAAATGCACATACAACAGTTATAGGTTAATCTCCATAGTGCATGCATCACTTTGAAATTGCCAAAACGTTCAGGTGTGTCGCAAAATGTATGGCATCACACCATTTTTTCCTGAAAATGGTAGTCTAATGTGCAATGGTCCAAAAAGTTTGAGAACCACAAGTATAAAGGGTTCAAAATTGAGTACAACCTATAAAGCTCACAATTATACCATATCCTGCTCGGAAATCAACTTTCAAAATTGGCACACTAATCCAACTTTAAGTACACAAAGAATTCAATTAATTTTGAGAGATTTTTCCTTTTTTCAAGTGCAACTTGAAGGATTCATAAATTATAATTTTATAACAATAAGCAGCGAGGAATTCAGATATAAAAGAGGTTCATAATTAATCACTTCTCTTTTATTTCGTAGAGAAAGTCAGATATGAATCATCTGGGAATGAATTATTGTACTAGTTGTATAAAACAGCATTTATATTCACTAAATGGTTTCTCGTCTCATTCAGCATATTTAAATGAATTCACTTTACATTTCATTTGAATTCACAACCTCATGATGTATCACAAATCGTCATACTTTGTGAGGTACGGTAATGAATAAAATAGCTAGGAGGTATGATTTGGATTTAAAATGATTAAATAATGTTTGTTTATTGGACATATTATAATTGAATTTAACGGGTTATTAAGTTGGCAATTGAAATTGAATTTAATTCACTTTTTTGAATTTGAATGTTTATTGTGGTGTAAATTCATTTATTTTTGGAGCTTGTGAATTTAATTAAATTGTCATGATTTGTTTTTGTTTGATGCTTTAAAGCTATTGACTTCAAACAATTTTAATTAATTTAATAAAATATCCTGCAAAGATTTTAGAATAATGAGTCTTTTGGTGAACTTTTATGTTTTGTATTTAATTATAGCTTTTAAAAATTTTCAGTTGGAATTGTTGTTTTGAAATTTACTATATCAAGTGAATGAGGCGCGTAGCCAAGGCTTTAAAATCATTCTTCGTCCTAGAGTTTTTAGGAAAAATTCCAAAAATCACCACTCTTAAAGTTTTTTGTCTCCCCCTCTTCAAACTCTTGGATACGCCTTAGAAATGATCTGCTCTGATTGCATTCAGACTGTTTAAAAAATGACACAACATAAAAGAAGTGAATGCAATCCCCTCCCTTCTTCCAAAATATGCTCTTTTGAGTAGTCAAACTCCAAAAATCGTTTACATAAATATTCAATTTCTATTGATCCAAGTAAATCAAAATTCTATCCCTGTGGGGGGTTTACAGCAAGAAGGACATTTTAAATAATAAATAAATTTTCTTTCATCTAAAAATAGATTGATACAGTTTAAAGATTCAGGAGGTATCAAATGCAGATATACAATATTGATTCATACCTTTCTAGTACAAAATTTCATTTCCGAGATGAAAAGAAGATGAAGGTTAAAACAAAGCGTGGAAACTATGCCAAATATCCCATTTATCCCATATATCCCAAAAATATTCAAAATAATCCCTGAGCCTGTATGCATTAGAATTGAGAAATCCCATCACATTCTGAAATTACACGTCCAAAACACTAAGGATACGTTGGGATATCTTTATTTTCGTGCATACATGCTTAGGAATTTTTTGAATATTTTTGGGATAAATGGGATATTTGGGACAGTTTCCACGCCTTGGTTAAAAATAAAGCATAAAGGAAAAAAGAAAAAGGAACATTTCATAGGAGATAAAGTAAACAGAAGAAGAAGAAGAAGAAAAATGAAGTAGAACAGGTGGGGCAAGAGAAAACATTTATATAAATACATTTAGACATACTCTAACATGAATAGAAGGTAGAGAAGATTCATAAGACGTACTATAAATATTGCAAAAGATATTGTACGTGTGTGTGGCTCTAAATAAAAATATATAGGAACTTAATCGCTTGCATCATCTATCATACATTAAATTATATCTTTTGTTGCAAACAACACCAACCTTTCTGTACCACTTGGATATCTTCTCGTTAACAAATAAATTTTCTGACCACGAAAACTAAATTTTAAGTTGAGAAAGATTAATATTTTTTTGAGTGTGTGTGCTGTAGATCTTAAGATTTTATTTTTCTTTGTGTCCATTCAAAACTTTTTTGGTTCTTACAAAGAGAACATCTTCATTTTTCATCACAGCGATAAGAGAGGATGGACAATGAAAACAAGACAGACGGAACATTTCTTTCTTGCATCTTTAAAAAAAAGCTTTAAGAATAAAAGAGTCGAGGATAACAGTGGCACAGTGTTGTTAAATTTGATGTTAAGTTTTGTAGATATCTACGAAAGTTATGTCACATGTAGACAAAATCTGGTCTAGACCCAG